ATCAGACAATCAATCATTTAAACATCATTTTTTTCTTATTTAGTGATCAATCACTTTTTATTTCATGAAATATAAATGAATTTTAAATGAATTTTAATTATTGTTATTCCTCTTTTCTTTGTTATTCCTCGTTTTTGGAAATTCTCCTATTTCTTGTCCTTCATCTATTGTCTTTGTCTATTATTCAATTTATCCATTATCTCTTATTTAAATTATCTTTATATTATATGTTATTTAAATTATCTCATTCCTGAAAGTATCTCTTCTAGATACTCTGAACTTATACTATCCTCTTTCTCATTAATATCTTCTCTGTGTTTTATTCTTGTGACTTCTTTGATTTGTATAAAGTCTGTCTTTTTCCCTATGACTCTAACTATTACATCTTCTCCTCTGAGAAATTCATTAAACTTCTTGATATTATTATCAATCACAATGTTGAGTTCTTCATCATCCATTACACCTTTCTTCCTTCTACTTTTTCTTTTCTTTTCAACTTCTTCAATTACTATGTCTTCTTTTATCTCTAGAATTTCTACTTTTTCATTAAATTCTTCTAATATCTCTTCTAAGTAATCTTCACTTATCTCATCTTTCTCTTTTTCCTTACTCATTCTATTCTATTTCTATGTTCTACTTTTTAGTTCTTTATTCTTATTCTTATTCTTATTTATTTTACTCTTTTTCTTTTCTTTAAAACCTTTTCTTTTCTTTAAACCTTATTCAATTAATTCCCATATGGCTTTCTTGTATATTCAATTGTAATCTCTGCTCTAATAAATGCTTGATAGTTACAAATTAACTTTCCATTTACTAGACTATCAACATATTTATTATCTTCACTTGGTTCTGGCTCTGGTTCTGGTTTAGGTTGCATCTTTCCTTTACAAATATGTTTCTCTTTCTCTTTCTCTTGAAGTAATTCAATCTTCTTTCTTCTCTTCTCTATTGATGAAAGCATAGTACCTGTACTATCATTCTTTCCTGAAATATACTTAGGTTGGAAATCTTCTTTTCTAATAGACATTGCTATATGTCCTAATTGTAATACTACATTTGGATTCTTTAATAATGATCCATCTATTACTGTTCCTCTACTAATTACTTCTTTATTTACTGCTTGTGTCTTATCATCACTATTAATTACTGTTTTGTATATGTTCTTACTTTTGAAATTCGTTCTAATTGTAGAATTGGATCCAGCTGATAAATATGTTCCTGTAAAGATTAATTCATTCATTTTTGTTGCATCTCCTTCATTATATGTATTTCCTGAAAATGCTTGAACATATACTGGATAATCTCCTGAAACATATCCTTCAATACTTTGATTTACTACCATACTATTTTGATAATATGGATTAATTGATATATTAACGTCTTTAATTTTAAACATTTCGGGATCTATTTTATCCCAATCATTTCCTTCTCCTAATATTAATGGAACTATAACCATCTCTCTATCATCTTCTGAATCTGCTACATTACATTCAATTCTAACTGGATATGTTTGGCATACTGTTACTTCTGATACATTCTTCGGGTTCATTCTTCTTTTTTTGTATTATTTAGTTAATCTGAATCTCTTAAATATCCCATCTAAATCTCGTATTTTTATCTATCATTTTAATTTGTTAGATGCTAATTTTTAGTTAGATGCTAATTTATTAGTTACATCTATTATTCATATTCTTATTATGGGTATTCTATCTACTCTCTTAAGTAAAGTCCTTCCTAAAGCATTAAATATCTTTAGTTATGCTGGTCAAGGTATAGTTCAAGGAATCCAGAAAAATGGTCTTGATGGTTATAGACTTCAATTAGCTGGTTATTCTATTCCTAATAGTGATTTTAATCCTTTAGATGGTCCTATAGATGAAAATGATGCTGGTGAAGAACAAGTCTTACAACAACATGTTGGTGCTAATAAAGAACAAGTTGTAGCTGGATTAATTGCTGCTAGAGAAATGTCTAATGCTGTCTTGTATAGTTCTCTCACTAATTGTAAAACTGAAACTGTCACATTAGAAGCTAATTTATCTTTCTACTATTCAAAAACAGCTAAAACAGGTACTCGAAAGGATGGTGTTCCTGTTATTAATTATAAGGATCATGGTTATACTCATCTTATTCCTAAATTATTCAGAAATTATGATTCATTAAAACGATATGATGCTTTTGTATTGAATATGGTTATTGTTCAATCTACGCAAGCGTCAACAAGTATCACTGGAACTATTGTTTCTTTCTATCCTTTAACTAAAGACACTAGAAAATTAAAGAACTCTGTTGTTAAAAGTGCAGGAAATCGTCAGGAATCATCAACTTACAATAGAATTTATTATGTTATCCGAAATGTCACTCCTGGAAGATTCAAAATTACTCGAGATGGATTTGAACCAAAAGATGCTACAGTCAACCCAAATGAAGCAATTCCTACTGATGTATTAGATAAGTATGATAGTACTGATATGGATACCAGTGGTTCTTTCTTATCATATGGTACTTTATGTTTTGTAAAAGAGAATCTTGGAGAAAATGATGTTGCTATGCAATTCAATATAAAAATGCAATTCATTGGATTTAGACAACAGTCGCTTGATGACATTTATGATGATGATGGAAGTACAGAAATGAGTCCTATTACAACAAACTGTCTTCCAAAGAAATTCTTGAAAAAGAAAAATCTCAATTAATACTATTAAAATAATTAAATCTTAATTAATTAATCATTTATGTTTATTGTTAATGTTAATAATTAAAACCATGTTGGAATTAATGTTGATGATTGAACAATTGCATATTGTTCCTTACCTATTTGTTTATTTAACCAATTAACTACATAAATAGGAGTATAATCAAATGGACTCTTTTCTAATTCACTTATTTTTTGTGTTGCCCATCCATATCCTTTATTTTCTTCATTCAATTGATAACTTCTTTGTTCTTTAAGTGATGTACTAAAGACTGTAATATTTGATTTCCACATACTATAACTATTATCTTCATTATAATGATAATCAAGTGTTGGATTTTTAATTATTCTATCTGTATGAAAAATACATGATTCATCAGGTTGAAATAATCCTCCTGAATGACAACATTCAAAAAACACTGTTACATGTCTTACATTATTATTAAATAATAAGTGTGTAATTTGTGTATCTCTAATATATGATTTCTCATTTAACTTAATTGCTTCACCATCTTCATCAGTAATTCCATGTGTATTAAAATACATATAAATATACTTATATTTTCTCTCTCTATTTACTAAATACAATTGAATTAAATTCATTACACTACTACTAATATCAATATCTTCTCTTTTCTCTATCTATTTTGTA